TGATAATTACATTAAAAAATATTCTAAGCATTAGATTAGTATTGCAAGGATAATGATTAAATACGACATATAAAAATAAGAAGATTTCTTACAACGGATGAAAGAGTCTTTCCAAGACTTTCCTGGTTAGATGATGATGGTGCTGACTGTGCTTGTACTTGTTGTGGCATGAGTGGTGGCTGTTGTGATCTCTGAGGTACAACTGGCTGGTTGGTAGAGGCAATTGTCATCGTTACACTCGTACTTACTGGGACACTAGACCCATGATTATACTGAAGTGGCACTGGTGAGACTGCACCCCGGGCTTGGTTGTTAGGAACAGCAACACAGCCACGTAGTGTTGACATTGGAGGCAGTGTAGCAACAGACGTAACTATGGTTCCTGGTATAGATCGTGTCTGTGTTTCAGTGCTTGGCGACATAGACGAGTACGCCTAAAACAATTTAAAGAAGTTTAAGATACTCTTTAGTGATTAAAGTATTTATTGGGGGTGTGCAAAAATAATGCAACTTTTTTTTTTAACGCTAAAAAGTTATTAAACTTTGAAATTCTCATATGCCTCTTAACGGTGTAATGGCGGTCTATTTCAGCTATAAAAATGCGCTGTCAATGCTTTTATATCGTTTTTCACTACATATAAGAAAACGAGGTTAATAATGTTGCTAAGTAAGAAACATTTTAGACATTGGCTTCTTTATAATTATAAACAAGGTAAAAACGTGAAAGCCAAAAATCCTTACTAGAGAGAATCAATGAATTACTGATTTGGTGGCAACATGCGTTGAACTTTAACGAAAAATACTTTGATGATTCAATGTGTGAAGTCTTCTTTATATAAATAAAGTTGAAAAACAAAAAAAAATTGCATTTTTTAGCACACCACCAATATATACTGAAATTTTAACTTATTTAGCAATCTACTAATACTATTTCCTAATAATCTTTAAAATACTATGAACTACACTTTTAACAAACTCGGTTTACTGTGTATACAATAATTATATAAAAAAATAGTACTACATATTTTGAAATAAGAACCTTATTTAAAATCTCGCACAGATAAACGTTCTTTGATGAAAATTATTTTAAAAAATTCTGTTCTGTATTTCGTAACTGTAGAGTAACAATTAAAAATGTTTCCGCAATATACTGTTTTATTCTGGAAATTAAATAGAGAGGAAAAAGTACTAGAACTGAATTTCAGCCGAAAAACGTAGTAATTATTTTGAGAGCAGATTAGAAATCTTTAATTCATGTAATACTTTAATGGATACTTATAAGGTGAAGTATTGTCATCAAAAAAAGGTTTTCTTATTTTGTTTAAGTAAGTATTACAAATCAAAGTAAATGAAATATAAACAGCATAATTTATCAAAGTAATGCACATGCTTTAATTGTAATAAGATATTTTATCTCAGTGCACTTAGAGTCTCGGGAGAATGTAGTAGAGAATTGGCCTTTCTAAACAGACATGGTTTTAGTTCACTTAAAACAATATGAGATAGGTATAACGCTTCTTCAAAAATTTTTTTTGTGATTTCTCAAGAAGTGTTGGAGTTTTAGCTTAAACAGCGAAATGTGATTAAAATTTATGCCTGGCCTACGAAAAAAGCACGTATAAATAAGTATTGTATCAAAAAATGCTGATTGTCTTCTTGTAATATCTGAGGAATCGTTCCTTTTCTATTTTTGCTTCAAGGACTAATTACCTACCCAGCCTCTCACCTGGAGGCGCTGAAGAGACTGAAACACCGAGTCGTTCCCGTCAGACCTAACATCAACGATGTTATCATCAACAACCAGATTCACAGCAAGACTGCTTTAATGCTCCAACCATCTTAGAGCCCTGACTGAGCTCTCTGTAATTTTTTTTTCTGCGTTTGTCTAAAAAGAGCGGTAAAATAAATACACGATATTGGTGGAGAAGGTCGAAGCTTTTATACACAGTTTCTAAAATGCATTTTAGAAATTTCAGAGGGCCTTCTACACTGCTTACTGTGAAAAAATCACGATGCTGGAAGCCATTGAATTTCCTTTTAAGTTTAATGTTAAAGACTAATTTTTGATGTCTCTATTAATTTTTTTTAACCCTTACAAAATTATCATACTGATTTGAAAAATATCAGAAAGATAGACCAACGTGCATAATAAAAAAAGGTGAAGTATCTGTTAGTTAAATCATAGCTACAATACTATGACAAAGCATTGACTTACGCGTATTCACGCTGGCCTATGCTGACCCGAAATGAAAAAGAAGTAAAGAGTAAAACCTTTTGATACAAGAAAATAAACGGACTCTAAAAAACTACTTAGTGCTAAAGTTTAGCTGGGAGAAATTATGTCGATGAATCGAAAAAATCCTACAAATATTTTACAACTTGGGTGCACACATTTACATAAACTAAGATGTTGTTTATTTAACTATGGTTAAATTCATGGAAACTACAGTAAAAATTAGCTATAGGTTTTTTTTTATAAGTCATAGTGTATTGACCCCATTTGAAGTATATCTTATTATCCCAATAACCAATACACTTCATTTATTCAGAAAATTGATGTGTATACATTTGGTTAGGGCTTATTACATGTAGTAGAATACAGTATATAACATAAGAAATATTTGCTACATTATATGTAACTAAATTATAAGTATGATATAGTTCCTAAGTACGTCAATTCTAATCAGTCGATAATTTATTACAATTCAATTAAACATGTGATTGGACGGAATCGTAGATTTTTAGATCGCAATTTTTGACAAACCTACAAATCGCTGCGCAGGCAACAGTGTTTAGTTTGGCAATGAGACTTTCTATGTTATAAGGCGGTAGCACATTATTTTTAATAAGATCCTGTATAAGGATATTTCTGTTTTCATTATATAAATGGCAGGTCCATATTACATTATTCAAATCCTCTTTTTCATGGCCACATTTACATTTGGGGTTAGATACAACATTTTTTCGATGAAGAGATTCTCTTTAACTGTGGTGGTTTGATCGCTTCCTATTTACGGTAGTACTTCTGGACCAGTTTAGTCCTTTAAACCATGGTATCCTACTCATAGTATGAAACCATTTAAAGTAGAATTCACCTTTGAATTGGCTTTGACGTCTGATAAGGGAGTCTTTGTTTTTGAAGGCATTGGAATAGAAGGTTTCGTATAAATCCGTTAAGTTAGTGAAGTTTAATGAGTGTTCCATTGTAAATGTAGCATTCTTGGCCAATTGGTCAGCAGATTCGTTGCCAATCAGTCCGATGTGTGCAGGTATCCAAGCTAGTGTTATGGAGTTTGACAGGTTTTGAGAAACATACTTTATATATTTGAAGTTGATGTTTAAGACAAGGTAGTTGGTTTTCATGCAGTGTTTAGGTGAGCATAGACTTTTAAGAGAGCTTAGTGAGTCGCTGAAGATTATAAAGTCTTCACTGCTTTGTGTGAGGATGAAGTCCAGGGCAGAATTGATCGCTGTGCATTCTGCAGAGTATGTAGACGCAGTGGTATTGAGGCTTGTTGTAGTGGTTAAATTGAGTTGGGGACATGTACAAGCAGAGCCTACATAGGGAGCTTCTTTGATTTTACTACCATCTGTGTTAATTGCTATGACCTTACTAGAGTGAGTGTTATTGATAAGGATGCTGTTAAGATCTAGAGATTCTTAAAGAGAACGTCCAAGGCTAAAATCAGTTGGCATTGGAGTTACGTTGGTGAAAAAATGGTGAATGTAAGGCGTGTAGTGGGCATTATATTGATGGCAATGTTATAATCGTTGTTAGTATTAAGGAAGGTGAGTGTTCATTTCGAAATGATTGAGGTGAATCTATAATGATGTTTATACTTGTCATGGAATGCTAATATTTTTGAAGTAGTGTCAGATGTTACATTGCTGAGTATTTTGGATAAGTAGCATAAGCATAAGAAATTTGTTCGTTCTTTAATGGTTATCATTTTAGATTCTGCTAACAAAATGTTTTTTGGAGTACTTATGCAATAGCACAGTGCGTATCTCATGGCAGCATATTGTATTTTTTCCAGTTTGGTGACTTTGCTATAGTTGTTGGGTAAGTATACAAAACAGGCGTAGTCAGTCAAAGAAGAAGTATATCTTTTGTATAATATTAAAAGGGTGTTAAGCTGTATACTCTACCAAGTGCCACATAAATACTTGATAATGTTCATGGCAGCCATGCACCTACTGCGAACCTGGGTGAGATGTTCATTAAAGTTGAGCTGATGATCTAAGGTTACACCTAGAAATGTTATGTGTTTGGAGAATTTGATAATGGAATTGAGAATTCTAATTTCAGTTTGCCAAGGTTTAATTACTTTTTTATTTATGTGCAAGAATCAAGATTTGAGTGGTGAGGTGCTAAGTCTGATGTTATTGAGGTTATTCAAAGTTTTTATTGTGTTTTCCAGGATGCTTTTGTTATTTGTACCGAAACTGGATTTTGTGTATAGGGCTACATCATCAGCAAACTGAGAAATTGTACTTTTTGCTTTATATATGAGTTGTTATAGAAGCAACATATAGACTATAAAGTATCGGGCTGAGTACTACACCTTGAGGAACTCTTCGGTAGATAACAAGGTGCTTAGATTCGACAAGATCTGTGTAAATTTTGCGTTCTTTAGTTATGAAGTTGACAAATTTAATGACTGTAGGGGAGAATTCCAAGCTATCCAGTTTGTGAATTAAGATGTCTATGTCAACATGGTCAAAGGCTCCCTCAACGTCTAGAAAGACTGCATAAATATTGCTACGTTCCTTGAAAGCTTCTTCTGAAGTTAGGACTAAGTTGTTTAAATTGTCTACACATGAGTTACCTTTTCTGAAACCATATTGACTTTTAGGCAGTAGGTTGCTAGTTTCCAGCCATCATTGGATTCAATTTTTGATCATGGTTTCAAGGAGTTTGTAGAGGCAAGACGTGAGTGACAGTGGTCGAAGGCCGTTGCCGTTAGGTTTTTTAATGAAGTATACAAAAATTTCTGTCCATGCCTCCGGGTACATACCCTTAGAATACATGTCATTAAATATGTCGAGAAGTAATAATTTGTACTTAAGAGGGATCTTTTTGATGGTTTCATAATATATACCATCTATACCCAGAGCTGACTTGTTATTTTTTTGGTCTAGTGCATAGTTAAACTCGATAAATGAGAAAAAAGAGTCCTGAAATTTATTTGAAGTAGATGGAGGAAGAGCACAGGGGTTGGTTGGAGCCCACGGAGGGCATATTTTATCAAAAGCCAATTCAATGGCATTTTTTTTATTTTGCAGATATTGAGAGGTATGTATAGATTTGCCATTAATCCAACAGTTTTTTTAAATTTTACACTGGTTCAATACGTAAGTTGGGTCTGTTCGAAAATCGACATTTTCAGCAAAATTGTGGAGTGCGCTTCTTTTTTTCCCTTAATTTTAAAAG